AGAAGTCAGTGCTATCAAAAGCAGGTTTACTTTCACCGCCACGGGCACCCTCTGACGTACAGGTTCCTCTCTTCCTGGCCCGGAGAACAAACAGGAGATTGCATTTGCACTGTACAGCAACAATAGCTGGATCTGCGCTTGACGTACGTCGTAACCAAGAGGCAGCTGTGCCCAATTAGCCAGGAACCGAGACGGTTTCAGCGTGCGCCAGTGTGTGTGCTCGTAATTGGTATTTGTACAAGAGACAACAACGCATGGCTTTTCGTATCTGTAGACAGTGCTCCATACTACGAATACGTACTACTAGTACGTACATGCTCATGGGGATGAGGAGTGTTGCCTTGATCCCAGCGCATTGGAACGGGCCTTTTTTTGGTTTTATTTTGGGCTGGATCGGCTTTATGCGTGCTTAATTCAAGCTGCCGACCCTTTCTTCCCCCTTGAGACTCTGGAGTTATGGATATGCTTGCTTGTGAAGAGGCATTGGGCATCACGACAGTCATCAGTCAGCTGTAATGATTATGTAGCAATGCGGAAATACAAATCAGCCACCACCATCACGGCTTCACGCCATTCAAAGCCCAGACTGCGACAATTCCTGCATAAAGGTCGAATCATGCAGACGCGGACCTTGCATCTACCGAACTTTCTTCTGGTCGTCGTTGTTTATTCTTCGGCCGTCCCCGTCCCGTCTTGGTTCTCGCCAGTTCTCGTTCTCGCCACTCCACTCGACGACGTCTCCTTTTCTCCTGGGCCCTGGCTGGAAGAAGGTACGTAGTTGCCAGGTGGGAACTTTTATTAGTCAGGATCGGCGAGAACAAAAATAAACATTTGGACATTGAGCGCGGTGGGAGATCTCGGCCCAAGGCGGCAATCTGTCACGCAACGCCACAGCAACAGCGAATGCCTCGTCAATGATTCTTTGGCAGCAGCTTACCACTCCGTAGTATGTAGTTATTGCTAGCTATTCAATTCAATGCCGTCCGTCTCTCCCAAAACTCGCATGCTGACCCCGCTCCGGTGCATTTGTTGGCGATAATTCCACAAGCCTGGGTCCCTGGTCCCGGCCCTGAGAGCGTCCACCACACGAAGCTAAACGCTGGGCTAAGCGGGCTCTAGGAAAGATGATGTGCCTCTCCACCGCTATTACCACTACGACATCAGCAGCCGCCAGTGCTTACCTCCAGGCGTCACAGGCGACTCAGCCTTATTCTTGGTCAAAGGCTACCCCTGGAGGCGTGCTGCTGCTGTGGTACCTGCTCCACCTGCTCTCGCTCGTGTTTCCCTCGGCCTCTGTGCCAGTGCGTGCGCAGCTGGTCTACCACCTTGCCGTGCTATATATACACCACCACAACCACAACCTTGATAGTATATAAACCTCCCTCCCCCCCTTCTCGTCTGCCTCTCCAAACCTAAGACCCCGTTATTCGTGTGGCCTCGGGCGTGTGTGTTCCTCGCGTAATTCACTGTCAGTCCCCCAAGAGCCCTTCACTCCCAAGCACACATCTCGTAGACGAGTCTCTGCCTGGGATCACTTTTGCGTAAATTCCGCTGCAAGCCATGAGCATTGGTTGTTGTCCGAGAAGCGTTGTTGTTTATTTCGTCGCTCCCACCGTCCGATCATGATGCGTCGAGCGTCCAAGCAGCTTGCTGCCGCCGACGAGCGGGAGGCATACTTCACCTACCGCCCGCTCTCCAACCTCCCCACACCGCCCCCTAGCTCTCGTAACTCGTCGGCCGCCCAGTCGCCGCGGACGACTCTGGACGACGGGGAGCCATTGATGGCACGTTTTAGAGGTGTGTTTGCCATCCATCTACCTGCGTGTGCCGTCAAACTGACTTCTTAGGCCCCGCCATCCATCTCGTCAACCTCATCCCCTCCTCCGCCTCACTCGCTACCGCCTCGGTCCCCCTCGTCCAGGCCCTCCTCTCCCGCGCAGACCTCCCCATCGAAACCGTCGCCCTCGCCGTCGGCATCCTCGACTCCCTCGACTCCCGCTTCGCCCGCCGCTGGCGCGTCTCGTGCCCCCTCCGCTCCGACTACTTCTCCTCCTCCTCTAAGCGCCACACCCTCCCGCCCTCCTTCCTTCCCCAGCGCCAGCAGCTGCACATCGACTCGGTCAACCCGGAGCTCATCATCTTCGCTGCCCTCGTCATCGCCGTCAAGTTCACCGAGGATCCCCAGGAAGCCTCCCAGTGGTACTGCAAGGCCTGGGGCCGCGACATGTGGTCGCACCAGCAGCTCAACGTCACCGAGCGCTGCATCATGGAGCACCTCAACTACCGCATCATGCCGCTCTGCCACGACGACTGTCTGACCGACGCCATGGTCGACATGCAGCTCGCCGCCCAGCAGTCCGGGTCCGCCTGGGACCACGACAGCAACAGCGTCTCCAGCGACGAGGACGACGTCGACGCCAGCTTCGTGCCCTCGCACACCCGCTCCAGGACGCTCGGCTCCGCCCTGGGGCTCGGCCTCTCGCTGACGCCCGTCGACACGCCTACAGCCGATGTCTCGCAGGCCACGACGCCGCGACCGTCGGCGCTTTCAAACGATTATTTCCAGCACTGTCAGGCATGATTGAAGGAAAGGGAAAAGCATGATATCCGGCGTTTTACTACTTTTTTTTTTTTTTTTTTTGGCTCTCTCTACGATACTCGGCATCATCGACTCGGCGTTTGCTCCTCCAAAATCTACACACATCATGTAATGGCGACATCTTGCAATGGCTCTTAGCGACTTGATCTGGCATCATCTATTAGGAAACGCTTGCCCCTTGCCTGGAGGGGAGACGGACTCTTTTTTGTAATCCAGGCTCTCTTTTCATTGTCACACTCACGGTCTTCGGGTGGTTCTTGTACTGGCATTTTTCGGGCATGGGATCAACAATACCTTGCTTCAACGGTGGTTCTTGGGTTTATCGGATTTTGGGGGCTCATTTTTTGGCATTGGGAGACCAGGATTGCACATACCCCTTTACCGTATATTCTGGTCAATAGTGTTCGTTTAATGGCTCGCTAACTGCTTCTTCTTTACCCCTTGCCTGTTTGATTCACCGTTTCTTCAGTCCTGTTGCGTGATGTTGGACCCCATAAGTTATCAGCCCGCTTGTTAGGAACATGATGTTACGTGTTGGTCCTTTGGAATTCGCCCTCTTGGCCCACCTTTGATTGTCCTATTTTTGGGACCTCGCCATTGTTATCAATGTCTTAGAGGGGATTGCATGTTTCCTTGTGTAACTGCATATAGGTACTCGCGTCAAATCTCGGCCAAGCCATTCCTGACCCAAGAGATGAGAGACATTGACCTTTCCTCAGCCAGTCCTCTTGAGTGCGTAGCTTGTCGTATTTATCGTTCAGGCGTTAGTCAAGTCGAAGAACTCAGCCGCCGCATCTCGGAAGTTTCAAGACTAACTACCTGGTGGTTGTTATTCATTTCACAACTTGAATCCCATGGGTGCGAAAGTAAGGAGCGGTATCATAATACTCTGAAGCAAAACCCCCGCCACAATAACCAAGGACGACACTGTAGGTCCTGGGCTATCTTGGCTGCAAGCTCCACGGGCCATTTTTGGCATGTGCAACGATGCCATAGAGATTGGGGAAGACTCCCTGGATGAAGACCGAGCTGTGCTAAGGCACTAGTGTTGAGAACATAGTCAGAGCAACTCCTGCTCTTGGGTCCCGTCGAGGAGGATTCTGATCCAGGCTCGGACTCGTGTGGTGCATGAAGGCGGCCAGTTGTCGGTCTTCCAATGTTCGGTCGTTGAAATAAGACTTGCAGAAGATCCTGGTTTTCCGTGGCTCGGTCGTTAAGAAAAGACTTCGGGATACTTTGATGGGTTCGTCGAGGGGTGTTGGTATTTGGCAAGACCACTGGCGTTTTTAAATCCTTAAAGAATGCCTGAATAAAATAGAAAAAAATCGTGAACCTGCAAAGAAATCGTCGATTAGTCTCGGGAAAGGTGATCAAGGCGAGCCATACTGCCTTACGTAAGTTTCTTCGTTACGCAGAAAAAATGAAGGAATGGTCCTGAGGTCGAGGACCGTAGTGTGCGACCGCTACCAGGACGTTTGTCATGTCTACCCTATGGCCGGGTGGCTCGGCTCACGACTGCAGTGAGCATCTTCAGGTCACGCTCTGATATCCAAGTCCGAGCTTGGAGCTTAGGTATGGGCTTCTTCTACGTTAATTCCCACACAAATTACACAGGAACCCAAGGATTGCCTCGCCGCTACCCAGGTAGGTAGGTAGGTAGGGATGAACATCTGATCTTTAATGCTTATGGATAAAGCGCTCTGACAATCGCTCGGTGTGCTTCTGACTTAGAATGGCCTATGTGAAGCTCAGCACGGAGTGGCCTTCCTGGCCGTCAAGGAGAGGGATAACGGTAGAGAACAACAATAATTAGTAGGTGCGCCATGATACAACTAGTTATATAGCTCCCAGGGAAATGGAGTGGTTGCAGTCCAATCTTGGTAGTGAGGTTTGTTGGGTTGACTATGTATGGTCTTGTGTAATGCTGTTCCCAGTCGTTGAGATGGGTCGAGCCTCCTCCTGGGGAGCTTTATGCTTGATACGTTGTTAATGAATGCTGTGGATGAAGCACTTGATTTGGCAGATTACTGCATACCTTACTATCCTTATGGCTCACAAGTAATACGTTGAATCAACCATCCATTGTCAACTCACAGCCGCATCCGGTAGACAGCTGTGATTTAGGCGTGCTCCAGTCTTTGGGCGGGGGTGCATCAAGATACGGGCCCTGACGGTGGCGCAAGAGGGCCGCCCCGCAGAAGGCTGGCCGGCTGAAGGACTTGCGGCTGCTCTCGCCCGTCGGTCCCTCGTTCTCTCCTGCTCCTGGCGCTGCCCTTTCCTCATGTGGCGTGATGTCAGCTCAAGCAGCAGTTGAGCATCCAAACCAGGCAACTCACCAATGCAAAAAGTACAGACACACAAAGCGTGGAACACCCAGTGTGCAAAAAATGGAAATTTGGAAGGGCCTAACCGGGGATCGAACCCGGGACCTGCCACAGCTTCTTTTGAAGAATTGGGACTATTCCCGAAGCGGCAATCCCTATGAGGTTGTTAGAGCTGGAGTTGTTTACTCACTGCGAGGTTGACTTACTACCACTAGACCATCAGGCCGTTCTTTGTTGAAGAAGCGAGGCATTATTTCGACACATGATTCTTTTAACCCAATGCGGCAACCCACCCCACCCCACCCCACCCCGAGTCGAAGTGGATCTGCCAGTCTTTGACCGGTGTCATCACAGGTGGATCCTTTACCGTCTGGAGCAATAGGGGGTACCTCAATCAAGGTGTGCATTCGCGACATGGAGTCCGTACGAAGATTTCATGAGTGTTTGTCGTCTATCAGAACGGGTTTATCGCCTTTTGTCAACGTTGCCAAAGTTGAGTTGTCCAGTGCATGATTTGCAACCATGGGTTTCATCGGAATTTAGTGTCGGTGACATACCCAGCGCTGTTCAACACACATATACATACACGAAACACACAAAACATACGAAACGAACATAACGTAACATAACATACATTAAATATACATACTATACGTACTGTACGTATACGCACGACAACGCGAGTCGTCGATTTACACTTCTATAGTCATAATACGTGCACTGGGCGTTTGACCTCATGATAATACGTGCTGGCAACCGCCATTTCTAACCACCGAATAGTTTTCAAATACAAACAAAACCAGTTTCCCATCATAAGCACTTTTCATCTATCCGTCTCCAACATTTACGAATCAGCCATGACCAACGCCAACAGAGCCATGCGGCAGTACAGGCCATATCGCATCTGGGAATGGTTAGTTTTGTCTTGTGCAGTCTGGGAATGGAACTTACTTGGCGGAAATAGGCTGCACGCTGGTCAAAGTCGACCTCCTCGGCAACTTCCTCGTTGCGAGGAAGAGGGTGCATAACCACCATCGAAGACTTGGCGTGCTTGAGCGACGCGTTGTCAACCCGGTACGAGTTCTTCACTCGTTGGTACTCCTCCTCGCTGGGGAATCGCTCACGCTGCACACGAGTGCAGTAGAGGACGTCGCTGCGAGCGAGAATCTCGGGCGTCAAAGCCTCAGACTCGGAGAGGAGCTGCCCAGAGGCAATCAGCTGCTCTCGAACCTTGGGAGGAAGCTGAAGGCTCTTGGGAGCGACCAGCTGGACCTGGACGTGGTAGTGACGGAGGAGGTAAACCAGGGAGTGGACAGGTCGACCGTAGAGGAGATCGCCGAGGAAGGTAATGGTGAGACCCTGAACCGTACCAAGCTCCTCACGGATGGTAAAGAGGTCGAGGAAGGCCTGGGTAGGGTGCTCCTTGCTACCGTTGCCAGCGTTGATCACGGGCACGGGGCTGTACTTTTGCGCAACAGCCACGCTGTTCTCGTCGGGGTGGCGGACGACAACGGCATCACCGTAGCAAGCAAGAGTACGGATCGTGTCCTGGAGGGACTCGCCCTTCTGGACCGACGAGTGGGACGTAGCCACGTTTACGGTACGTCCACCAAGGCGCTGCATTGCAGCATCGAACGAAGCAGAAGTGCGCGTCGAAGGCTCATAGAAGAGCGTCGTCAGAACACGGCCTCGGAGTATGTTAAGAACTCCTTCACGCTGGACACCAAGGCGCAGTTCCTGAGCCAGAGTGAAGAGCAGATGCAAGTCTGCACGGCTGTAAGACTTGACCGACAAGACGTGGGTGTTCTTGAATGAAGAAGGCTGAGACAGCAGCTGCTGGATCGAGGAGCTGACCAAAGGCTGCAACTGCAGAGCGGGAGCAAGCTCCTCCAAACCACCCTTGGCAGGCGATGTGGCAATGGCGCTGCCCTCGAGAGGTCGGAGACGGGTCATAGGCTTAAGGCCACCCAGCATCGACAGGCGTCTAGCCTGGGGAGAGTCGGTGGCTTGGGCAATGGATACAGTGGGCTTGGAAGGAGGCGACATGGGAGGGATGATGTGCGCGGACATGTCCTTGCCCTGAGGAGGAACCGACAGAACCTCACCATCCAAGCAGACAGTGGTGTTCTGGAACGTCACTCGCTGGATAGAAGCACGCATGTTGCGGCCCTCAAAGGGAGACCAAGAGGAGCCGGCAACGACGGTGTAGGGGCGGTCAATCTCAGCCTCAATGGTGGTGCCAACCTGCTCATGGAGCTCGAAAATCTCCATGGGGTTGGTGTAGAGGCGAGCCTTAATGTCGTCCAGAGTCAGCTTCTCCTCGGCAACTGAAGACAGAAGAAGAGGCAGGGCCTCGGCGATGCCCATAGAAGGATCAGCCTTGTGACCCAAGGAGGTGGCCAGCTGGTAGGGCAGAGAGCCAACCGAAAAGACGTCGATGGTGCTCATGTGCTCCCAGAGGGCCTCCTGGTCAGCCGGGGTAGGCAGACGGTCGCACTCAGGGAAGTCGCTCTGAGAGAGGTACAGCGAGTAGATAGAAACATCGCAAGTAACCTGCAGACCCTTCTGCTTGCTAAGGGCAATGAGCTTAATGTCATCCTTGGTGCTCACAGAAGTAACGTGGATACGGCGGTTGTGCAAGCTGGCCAGGAGCAGAATGGAGGCCAAATCGGTCAGCTTGGCATCAGTCACAATGGGTTTGTGAGCAGGCCAGGCATCAAAGTGAGCAGTGACGGCAGCAACCTTGCTGATGTTGCCCGACAGGTGGTTGAAGGGGATGAACAGCGAGCCAACCTCACCGGTGACGTGGCTGATCTGATCAGCGTTGTCGGAAGTGGCAGAAACGGAGAAGTTGTAGTCGCAGTAACCGCCGCGCTTCGAGTTTTGCTGGGCGGCGCTCAGAGTAAGAGCATCGGTGATGGAGCCGTCCAGACCAAGGGGCATGACACGAATCATGCTGAAACCGGCCGAGATGGACGCCTTGGTGACGGCCTGAAGGTCGCTACTCTCAGAAGAAACGATACCAGGGACAAAGGCAGCAATGTTGATCAGTCCGGGCAGAACAACAGTGCGGTGGCTAGTCTGGTAGTCCCGCTTGGACACGTTGAGCTCAAAGTGACGAGCAATGGCTTCAACAAGAATCTTGGCGTTCTTGACATTGGTCACCAGAGGAATCTGGTAATCAACAGCCATACGACGAGTCTGGTAACCCTTGCTCATGTAGTTGGCGGGTCGTCTGTACTTGTTGTTGGAAGGCAAGTTGATGTACAGATCAATGGTGTTCTTGGCCAGATGCTGAGTGAGAGAGAACTCCGACTTGGTGTCCTCCTCCTTGCCGAGAACCTCGAGGTACTGGACCTTAACACCGTGCTCTTGGAGGAAATCGGCGGTACCGGAGGTGGCAAAGAGCTTGTAGCCAAGCTTCTCCAGCTTCTCGACAGAGGGTAGCATCTCTTTCTTGTCCTTATAGGAACCAATAGATAGAAGAATGTTCTTCTTGGGAATCTTGAAGCCAGTTGACATGAGCGCTTTGAGGTAGGCCTCGTTCTTGTCAACACCGAAGCAGGCAACCTCACCAGTGGAGGCCATCTCGACACCCAGGACCGGATCAGCACCCGACAGTCGCGAGAAACTGAATTGAGGAACCTTGACACCGACGCAATCGGGAGCGAGGTCGGTCGGGGGATACTCCTGGAAAGGCTGGCCCATGATGGCCAGAGTAGCCATCTCGATCAGATCAACACCCATGACCTTGGACACAAAGGGGAAAGATCGAGAGGCGCGGACGTTACACTCGATAACCTTGATGTCGTTGTCCTTGGCAATGAACTGAATGTTGAAGGGACCAGTGACGTTGAGGGCAACACCAATCTTGCGGGTAGCCTCCTCGATACGGCTGATAGTGGTAGCCTCGAGATCCTGAGGAGGGAGGATGAGGGTAGCGTCACCAGAGTGAACACCAGCGTTCTCGACGTGCTCAGAGATGAAGTGTCCAATAACGGTACCATCCTTGGCGACAGCATCCATCTCAATCTCTTTGGCATTCTCAATGTACTTGGTAATGACAACAGGGTGCTCGCGAGAGACCTCGGCAGCCTGGGCCAGGTAGTTTTCGAGATCCTTCTCAGAGTAGACCGTGTTCATCGCGGCACCGGAGAGCACATACGAAGGTCGGACCAGCACTGGATAAGAGACCTTGTTACAGAATGCTTGCGCCTCCTCGAAGCTGGTCAGCTCCTTCCACGTAGGTTGATCGACTCCAATGCGGTCAAGCATACGAGAGAACTTGTATCGGTTCTCGGCGTTGTCAATCATCTCAGGCGAAGTACCCAGGATCTTGACGCCGGCACGGTGCAGAGGCAGCGCAATGTTGTTGGGTGTCTGGCCACCCATCGCTCCAAGAACACCGCTGGAGTTCTCCAGCTGGTAAATGTCCAGAACCGTCTCGAGATTAATGTTCTCAAAGTACAGTTTATCTGCCTCGTCGTAATCGGTCGAAACCGTTTCCGGGTTGTAATTGACCATGATTGTCTTGAAACCGGAGCTGCGAAGGGTTCGGATGGCTCGGACGGAGCACCAGTCGAACTCGACGGAAGAACCAATTCGGTAGACGCCAGAGCCCAGAACCATGACGCCGTGGTCGTCAAAGGTAACGTCGTGCTCGGTCGCGTTGTAGGTCATGTACAAGTAGTTGGTGTAGGCCGGGAACTCGGCGGCGACGGTATCAATCTGCTTGACAAAAGGCTGGATGCCTGCATCGAGACGCATCCGGCGGACAGCAATCTCGTTGGAGCTCCAGAACTTGGCAAGTTGACGGTCAGAGAAACCAAGTCGCTTGGCCTGGAGCAGGATGCTGGGGATGTTTGAGATGTCAGTGGTGCTATAGCTGGTCATCTTCTTGGAAAAGTCGCTCAGGCCCTTGAGCTTGCGCAGGAACCACTTGTCAATTTTGGTGAGCTCCCAGATCTTGTCGACGGTGTAACCCTCGTGCATGGCGTTGGCAATGGCAAACAGACGCTGGTCAGAGGGAGTCTGAAGCTCATCGTCAATGCTCATCAGAGCCTTGGTCTCACCAAAGCCCAGGTTGTGGAAGTCAATGGCACGAATGGCCTTTTGAATAGCTTCCTCGAAAGATCGACCAATGCTCATGACCTCACCCACACTCTTCATGGAGGAACCAAGCTGAGTGGACACACGGGTGAACTTCTTAAGATCCCATCGAGGCAT